TATATATGTATATATATATAATGTAGTATAATAAGGTAAGATGAAGCCTAACACACTGAAATAGGGCAAAACAAACAGAAGGAAAAGAGCCTAAAAAGGGCACGAGAAACAGTTATAGACACCGAGACCCACGCGTTTGTACCCAGGAAACAGAATAACACTAGACTGCCTGTATGGTAAAGAAAGAGGGAATATACATAAGTAAAACACAAATTAAAAGTAAGATAGAAAAAAAGGGAGCATTCTGATATGACATCATGAGACAGCGCACCTCCAAAGAGCTGTCAGTTTGTCTTCTGTTGGTGTCTACTGCTGGACAGGCAGCCTGCCCTTAAGTCTCACTTGTTTCCCCTGTGTGACTCCCTCGGAGAGAACTAAGTTTTCATTTGCAAGTGGTTAGCAATTTGGGATAGCTCCTGGGTTAGGAGTTGGAGTATGTGCCCACTTCTCCTTTGAACTCCGGATCATCTGCTGCAGAGGAATGCAGGCCCTGTGCATGCTCCTCAGTCTCTGTGAGTTCAGACGAGCATCGTCCGTTGCTTTAGAGGGCACTGTCTTCCTGGTGTCCTCCGCCCCCTCTGGCTCTTACAATCTTTGAGCCTTTTTCTCTGCAGGTTCCCCTGAACCCTGGAGGGTATTTGATGGAGACATCCTGTTTAGGACTGAGGGTTTGACAGTCTCCCACCCTCTGCATAATGCCTGGCCGTGCCTCTTGTTTCCATCGGCTATAGAAGGAGGCTTCTCTGATGGTGGCTGAGCAAGACACTGGTATATGCATATAGTAGGATACACTTAGGAGTCATTTTATTGATACATTTTATTGATACATTTTGCTTTTCTTTTTCTGAACAGTAGTTTTGGGGCAATCTAGTCTCAGGTTCTTGTTCACACAGCAGTGCTGGGTATGAGTTCCATCTTGTGGAGTGGGGTGGGCCTTAAGTCAAATCAGATCATAGGTGACTGCTTCCACAAGCTTTGTGCCGTCATTGCCCTAGCATATCTTGCAGACAGGACACCACTGTAGATCAGTGGGTTTGTGACTGGGTTGGTCTTTATTCTTCTCTGTCGGTGGAATGCAGAGTCCCTTCCTGTACCAAAGACACTAGCATGTAGTGGTGAAGGCTCTGTGTAGGCACCAGCTCAAAATCTCCATGCACAGGGAGTTGTGTAGGTGTTGTCTTCAGCAATGGGGCTTTGCCATCAGTTTGTGGAGAGCAAAGATATAGCAGTCTCTTATTCTCTGCACTTTGACTAGCTCATTGCGTCTGCGTTAATTGCCATATACCACAAACAGAAGCTTCTCCTTGTGAGTTGAGGGCTGCATTAATCTATAAAGATGTGTTTTTTATTTATGTGCATGTGTGTTTGTATAATTGCATGCTGCCCATGTGACAGTGCCCTGGGGGGGAGGCAGAAGAAGCTTTCTTCTAGTTGCTGAGTGACAGAGAAACTAAAAGAAGGGATGATTGAAAAGAAGACCAGTTAGGAAGTGAATCAGCTGACAGGTAAAACCTCTTTCCCGTGGTTATATAATAGGAAGTGAACGTAAGAGCCTGTGTTCTGAGAAACCAGTCTTTTTTAAAATATTTATTTATTATGTATACAATGTTCTGTCTGCGTGTGTTCCTGCAGGCCAGAAGAGGGCACCAGACCTCATTACAGATGGTTGTGAGCCACCATGTGGTTGCTGGGAATTGAACTCAGGACCTTTGGAAGAGCAAACAATGCGCTTAACCGCTAAGCCATCTCTCCAGCCCCTGAGAATCCAGTTTTGGCCCAGAACAGTTGCAGTGTGTCTTGCCCAGAACCACAGGCCCATAATCCTCTAGAGGGAGCTGGAACAAGAGGATTGCAAGTCCCAAGCCATCAAGGGCTGTCAAACAAGTTCATAGCCAGCAAGGGCAGTGTGGTGAGGTCATATCTCAGAATAAAAAGGTAAAAAAAGAAAAGCATTGGGGAGATAGCTCAGTGCCTGCTCATGACGCTCAGCCCCCAGCTCTGAAAGAAAAGCTGTGGTGAGGTTTATCAACCAAGCCCCATCCAGTGGGCACTTGCCATGTGCCCGTAAGCCAGTCAGCCTTTACCTCACTGGCTCTTCACAACCAAACACTGTTGCATGCTCTCTTTAAAAAGGGAGAAACTGCTGGGAAGGGTTGCATGTGGAGGCAGAGACAGGTGGATTTCCATGAGTTCCAGGCTAGCCTGCTCTATGTGGTGAGGCCAGACCCTGTCTCAACCACACAGCTACCTTCTTCTCCTCCCAAAAGAAGACAGACTGTTGGCCCCAGGAGAAATGGCATAAGTGATGTGGCAAATGACTAGAAAGCAGCAGATAAAGGATTAACAGGGGCGGGGTTCTCTCACTCTCAAACCTTCACCTGTCATCAGCGGTCATCAGTACTGTCTCTCCCCATCACCATCCTGGCCTATTTCATCTATGGCTACACCTGAAGAGCTTCTTGACTCCAGGGCCAACTCAGGCTGTGCTCTGTGTCCCCAGCAGATGGGGCAAGAGCCTCGTGGGCATCAGAGGACCCTGCAGGTCTAGGGTGGAGCAAGGCTCTTGTTCCAGAACCACACCTGACCCCAGAAGCCTGGCTGCATGTAGAAGCTATGTGTACACCCCTTAGTTCTGAAGGCGTGGGAAAACTGACGGGATCCAGAACAGGAGTAGGTCCTGAGTGGCCATGCTAAGCATAGTCTCCAGGAGCTCGATCAGGTATAGGTCCTGAGTGGCCATGCTAAGCATAGTCTCCAGGAGCTCGATCAGGTATAGGTCCTGGGTGGCCATGCTAAGCACAGTCTCCAGGAGTTTGATCAGCTTTAGGTCCTGGGTGGCCATGCTCTACACACACTCTCTTGTTACCCTATTGAGAAACCTCTGTAGGGCTGACTACCTACTTCAAACAGACTTAAAGATTCTGGAGAGAAGCCAGGGAAAGGAACCTCGCGGCCCGAGGACCTGCAGCTCATAGGCCGCCTGCAGACACGTCTGAAGGAGAGAGAGGACATCATCAGACAGCTGACGGTGAGGCCCAGGCCAGCAGAGAAGGGGAGGTTCTGCCCAGTGGACACATTAAGGGTGTTAGCTTTGAACCTGGCATTTCTGTAGCTGTCTGTCCATCCTTCATTATTTCCCCCTATTACTAAGAAGTACTCATAAAAAAGAAAAGAGAGAGATAAACAGGCAAAGAAAAGAACCATCCTATGCCCAAGTTTAACAGCCTTTGATGTTGATCCTGTTTTTTAACCTACAGTTTTGATAAAAATCCATTTACTTACCTTGACTGTAATAGAATCATTCAAATTTACCATTGTTGATCTATCAACCACCTGCTTTCGAGTAGCTCACCCATTCTAGTAGCAAGACCCCTTGAAGAGTTATTTCCAACTCCTTTGACCCTGTGTCCCCAAATCATCAAGACCTGATGGGACGTCTCTCCCCTTGGTCTGTCTTTGACTCTTAGAATTATGTTAATAAGGAATAACTGCTACTTGGTAAGTGTAGGAAGGTACTATAGTTATTAGTCTTTTTATTTATTTTTATTCATTTATTTATTTATTTATATTTAGGTGCATATGTGTGCACACCACATGTATACAGGTCCTCTTAGAGGAGAGAATAGGACGTCAGATCCCCTGATGCTGGAGTTACTGGTATTTGTGAACTGCCTGATTACAGGCACTGGGAATTGAGCACAGGTCCTCTGGAAGAGCAGTAAGTGCTCTTAGCAACTAAGGATTATCTTAAAAGAATAGTCGCCCAGGTTAAGAACACTTGTTGCTTTCGCAGAGGACCCAGGCTCAGTTCCTGGCACCCACAGGTCATGCTTCAGTCCTTGGCACCACACAGATCAAGTACGGTAGCACATGCCTGAAACCCAGCTCTTAGGAGTCAGAAACAGGCCAGAAGTTCAAGGTCATGTTCATCCTTGGCTAAATAGTACAGTATGTTTGAGGCCAGCTCGGAGTGCATGCGGATCTGCTTCAAGCAAAGGCAAGGGAGAGAAAGGTTGGAATGTTTGCTTAATTACTTGCACTTTTGGACTAGACTTTACTTTCAGATGCTCAGTTGAGTTAGATTTTTTTTTTCCTCACTAAGGCAGCTTGTTCTTTTCTTCACTGGAACCATGAAGCCCCAGAGGTGAAGGTACCACCTCCAAGGTGCTCCAGTGACTGGCTGCCGATTGCCACTCACTCACCGTCCTTCTCCAGGGCCCTCCCACCATCTGGACAAAACCAGTGACACATGACTAAGCTCTCTAAGACCTGGTTGCATTGATTTTCCAGGAAGAGAGAAAATTTCACTACGCAGCCTTCCCCAGTGCAATGTCCCATCGGAATCGGTCCTTCTCATTCAATCCTCACCCAGGATACTTGACCCCTTCCATGAAGGTAAAGCAATTTTATCACATCACATAATGTGCGGGCTTTTCTCCTCAAAGTAGCTGCAGCATACTGATGGGCTAGTGGGCATCCCATCAGATAAGCCTATTCGCTTTTATAATAATGCTGTTTCCTGGGTGTTGTAGTAAGGCCGCTTGTTTGTTCTGGGCTGCTCAGCCCCGAAATAACCACACAGAAACTGTATTAACTAAATCACTGCTTGGCCAATTAATTAAGAGTATTGCTTGCTAGCTCTTATATCTAGAATTAACCCATCTCCATTATTTTATATTTTACCATGAGGCTTGTGGCCTACCAGCAAGGTTTCAACATGTCTATCTCTGGTGGTGGCTCCATGATGGCTTCTCCTTGATTCCGCCTCCTTTCTCCCAGCATTCAGTTTAGTTTTCCATGTCTAGCTAAGTTCTACTTTGCTATAGGCCAAGCCAGTTTCTTTAGTAACCAGTGGTATTCACAGCATACAGAGGGGAACCCCACATCACCTGGGTGGCATTAACAGCCTTTCTCTGACACAAACAGAAAAAGAAGATGGAGGAAGTGCCCAGCCGAGTGGTCAGCGTGCCAAACCTTGCCTCCTATGCAAAGAACTTTCTGAGCGGAGATCTGAGCTCCAGGATCAACGCCCCTCCCATAACAAAGTCACCTAGCCTGGACCCAAGCCCCAGCTGTGGCCAGCCCACCAGTTACAAACCCACCCAGTTACTTGATGGGAAAACTGCCACAAGGTGCGTGAGGGAGAGGGAGAAGATGTACCCTGTTCTTCAAGGGCAGGAAAGAAACTGGTATCTTCTCGGGTACCTGTTAAGTTTCTGGCGTCTGGTCTATAGAGTAGAAGCCCAGCCTTGGACAATGACACTCTAGCCAAATGGAAACTCTAACGATAGAAACTGCTGTTATTTGGGTTTTGGGACCGGATTTTAGAAGGCCTAATTGTTATGGAATCACTTAAGATCTGTGTTCAAAATCCATTTTTTTTCTTGGCTGTGTGGCCTTGGACAGGTGACCTCTATGGTTCCCTAATACAGCAGCTGCCTGATAAGACTGGTGTGACTAAAGGAATTAATCCATAAACTATTTTCAGCCTCTGTGGCTTTAGCTAAGGCTACTTTTCAGTGTGGACAGTATTCTTGAGGCTGTTAGAGTCTCTGGGTGTGGGCGTGGCTGACACACCTTCCTCGGTTTCCCTCTTCCCGAGGCCTGTGGGCTCACCTTGCTTACTGTTTCCCTTCTCATCAAGCCCTCCATTTAAAGGGTGTGCTTTAAATTCTGAGCTTGAGGGTTTGCGTTTAGAAAGGGCCTGGTCTAAAATGCTCTGGCTGCAGAAGCTCTCTGCATGCCAGCCTGACCATGGCTCTTTAGACTGGAGGGGAGGCAGAGACCTGACTGTGGAGCGAGGACTAACTTGCCACCCCTGAATGAGTATAGCCCCGTTGGGTCCTGCCTGAGAAAGGTCTAGAGCAGAGCATACCAGTTTGCCAGCTCCTGACTCTCATTGGTAGGCACCTGCTTTAAACTATTTTGAGTTTTTTTTTTTTTTCAGTATTTATGGGTCAAGTGTGCACCCCTTTAATCTCAGCTCTGGAAGCAGAGGCAAGTGAATCTATGTGAGTTCTAGGTCAGCACAGTCTATTTAGTAAGTTCTAGAACAGTCACAGCTACAAAGTGTGACTTTAAATTACTGTATGTTATTAATGGGGGAGATGGCATCTGCCATGCACAATGTCAGAGGACAACTTTTGAGAGTCTGTTCTCTCCGTTCACCTTGTCGGTTCCAGGAATCAAACTCAGGTCCTCAGGCCTGGCAGGCTGCTATTTTATATGAAATTTCACAAACGAAGACTATGACAGTTCATTGCCTACTCTTTCTTCTTTTTATTAGGGCAAATTTCATATCTTCATTAATATGCTCACAAATAATATATAGAAGGTTCATGGTGGAACACTATTTTGATTAACTATTTTAAGTTTTTAAAATTTGGCTGATTGTCTGATGTGTGCCTAAAGTAAGATATAGAATGTGACAAAATGCATCTCGTTAGTGCCATGGCCATCAGGTCATCAGTGAAAGAGTGGAGAGCAGTTAGTGGTTAAAACAAGAACTAGACCCTCCCTCCCACTCATCCCTCACAACACATTTCCAGCTGCTGACATAGGTCATGGCCTAGCATTTTCTGAGGGGATAGCAAGCACTTAGCTTCTCCAGGAATGATGGCAGGGCAGGTTTTTTTTTTTTTTTAATTGAAAAAGTTTCAAAACCATGTACATTTTTTCTTTGATTAGGGCACAAGATGGAGAACCAGGTCAAGCCAAAGAGGCCCCACAGAAGCAAGGCTCTCCGCATCAGGAGTGGTTTACCAAGTATTTTTCATTCTAAGCTCATCTTTGGGATCTGTTCCAAGGAGTGCATTAGAGAATCGTTTCGACCATCTGAAAGAATGAATTAAAATCATCCAGCCAGTAGCTAGCTGGTACTTTCATGTGATAGATAGCTAAAACAAAGTGTGGCATTAACATTCCAGTTTCATTGTGACACCTGCTTACTTTACAATTCTTATAGTTAAAGCTGAAACAAGCCAGTTATTAAAAAGTATCCCTTGGAAAATGCTATTAATCTCTGATGACCAAATTACCCATTGTATTTCCAGTGCCTGTAATGTCACACTCCACTTGGTGGGATATCAGACTAGTGACTGCCATGGTCTGCTTTCAAAGTGATTTTTTTTCTTGGTCATCTCCAAAGAGTTATGCTATATATTTCCACATATGTAAGATGATAATTTCAAAATGCACATCCAACCTCAATATGAAGAGGAATAAAATAAAGCCAATGAAGACAAAACATCAGACCTACCAGGAATGGACTGAAGCATGCTTGGACTGCATGTTACAGTTTCCAAGGTCTAGCACAGGCCGCAGACTACAGAGGGACAACACCTACCTCAAAAGGGACTTTGCACAATTAAGGAGCATAGTTCAGGCGCAGCCAGCCATCAGCCCGAACTGGAATGCTCAGTGGACAGCTGCGCTTCACCCTGCCAGACATATCGGCTTCAGTGACCACTGTGCTAACAGTCTTGTGAGGGATTCCAGACTGTCTGGTCTCTAATGTCAAAGATTGCTGGACCCCTGTCCTTTGATCTGGGTCACCTGCCTCGGACGTTTGGCTTAACTACTGTGCAGACTCCCAGAAGAGCCGGGAACTGTCCGTGGTGCTGAACCTGCACTCTGCCCACCGTGTCTTACCCACTGACAGTAGAGCTGACCCAAGCTTTTAGTGGGTAGAATCTTTTCTCTCTGGTGCTGGCCCAGCAAGTGGCTTATCAACAGATTCAATTCTATGCATTGTCAAATATTTGCTCTTTGAATAAAACTCTAAACTGGGCAATAAAAATGGCTATTGGCTTGTATAATTAGATTAAGATAAAGCTCTGAAACAAATTCCACATTAAGCTCAATCAGATCGTCTACAAATAAAATGTAGGTGATTAGATCACTTTTAGAGAAATGTAACTAAAACAAGTTAAAAGGCAAACAAGATTTTTTTTTGCTTTGTTTTTCTTGTTAGAATATGAGTACCATGTTAGAATCCTGCCCCTGTTTAGGGTGAAGTGTCACACCACTGACCTACACTACCAGCCCTGTGACACATTTTTGAATGTAAACATTTGTCACCATATTCAGAGTGCCACACTGTTTTTCAGTGCCAACTTTTTGTCTTTCCTGCTCAGGATGTGTCTGATATAACCTGAAGACACTGCACGGTTGGGCTGCTGTACTAAATCAAGACAGGGTTAATTGAGACAACAGAAATGGATGACTTGAGAGCAGAGATATCTCCACGACAGGACCTCATGTGCAATGAAGCTGGTTTAGGCCTCTTCAGAATGGGCCCCACGTGTTGGCATTTCCTCCGTATCCACCCTAGTCTTAGTGCATCTCCATTTTAACTCAAAAGTATGGAAAGTTCTACTTATTGTGTTAGGTCAGCACTAGAGACGTTTAGATTTGGGAGCACTTTGGATTAGGAAATGCCCAGTCTGTTTCCTACTAAGTATCAAGTTCCAATATTTGACAATTAGCAGTGCACATTGTGTTTTTATTGAGGGCTTTAAGAAATTAGCTACAGATGGTTCTGCTGTTTTGATCTGGGCACTTCCCCAGCACTGCAACCTTTGGTGAGAAGCATAGGTTGCTTTCCTACTACCCAGTGTATTATCTTTTTGCTGCCGAGACTGAATACCTGACAAAAAGAACTCAAAAATGTTTATCATGGTTCAGAGCACCATGGCAGGGAAGGTGTGAGGACAGAGTTGAGGTTGAGGGTCACACTGTATCCAGATGGGAAGTGGAGAGCAAAGAATTCTGATGCCCAGCTCATGTTCTCCTTTATTCAGTACTGGATCCCAGTACATGGAATGGTACTGCCCACATAGAGTGGGCCTTCCCACCTCAAGCAGCATAATCTAGAAACTTCCTTCACAGACATGCCAAGGTCTTTCTCCTAGCCAGGTTTAAATCCTGTCAAGTTGATAACGGCCATGAAATGGGGCAAAGGTGGCAGTCATTCATTTCATCTGGCAGGATGTCTGATAGTTTGAATGGCATGTTGCCTTTATTTTGGACTAATAAGATCATTGTCTGACTTTATCACTACTTCAGGGTGACTGAGGTTTAGTGTCCTGGTCCTGTTTACATCAGCAGAGTAACAGGGCAGGCACTGCTGAGTGCTGACGAACTGTGCTAAGAGAGTTCCTAAGTCTGGAGTAGGGTGACTGACACTGTTGCTGAGCTCACTGCCCACGGGAGGAGCCCATGGATGGGCCTGACTGTAGCAGCCTGCTGGGTAGGCCAATATCCAGGACTGGCACAACCAGTATTAGTTCCTATAACTGTGTTTTATGCAACAGCACTTTCAAAAGCAAAACTGAGTAGGAGTCTTCAGTTAAGGACCCAACTCTCAGGAATGTCAACAATTGGTTGGATAAAGCAAAGGGAAAAAAGGAAGATGTGTTACAAAGTCCAGGTATAGAAGATAAGGAAGTGAGTGTCCGTCTGATTGTGGTCAAAGACATCAGAAGAGCAAATGTATGATGGACAGAGGAAGCAGAGCTGGGAAAGATGGAGAAATGTTTATGAGAGAATTTGGGTGAGCTGAGAGAGGCCAAGGACAGACAGTTGCAAGTGGCAGAACCAGCAAGTGGTTAATCCTAGTGAAAGTAACTGGCCATGCAACAAGTGGAAAGATCTTACTCAGGTAGGCGGCTGAAACTAAAGGTTGGAAAAAAGCTTCCTTAACTCTGTTGGGTTACACATGGGAGCAGCAAGCCAAAGGAACCCCCTAAGAGGCATGCAGCCTGGCATTTCTGTTCATTCACCAACCATTAAGCTGCCGTGTAGTTAAGAAAAAGATGGATGGAGCTGGGTTGATAGCAGAGACAGTTCAGTAAGTGACTTTCATGCAAGCTGAAGACCTGAGCTCAGATCTCTTGTGCCAGAATAAATAGCCCAGCAGAGTAGCTCAATCCTAGTGCTGAGAGGCAGGAGGATCACTGAGGTCTGCCAGCCAGCTTGTCAGTTAAAGTAAGCCCCATATTCAGAGAAACTGTGCATCAGAAAGTGAGGTGGAAGGAGATGCCACATGACATGGATCTCTGACCTTCCCAAAAACTCACACATACTCCTCTCCTCCCCCAATAAAAACGATGCTTACAAACTGACAAAATGGAAAAACCATTTTACCCATTGAACTCAATAAAGTAACAATAACTTGTATATATACTAATTTGAAGTACTTTTACTAAGCACCAAGAACAGTTTCTAGTAATTTCACCACCACCTTTATTATTAAAAACCAGCCAAAATATAAGAAGTTTATTTAGGTCTTAGCTAAGAATCCATGAAATGTAAAGCTGCTGGTCAGTACTTCGTAAAGTGGGTGGTTTCAGGGGTTTGGGAAACGGATCTCGTGGAGCCTACAACAGTCTCAAACTCTGATCCTCCTTCCTCTACCTCCAAATGCTAGAATAAAACATGCCACCATGCCCAGCCTACATTTTTCAACACTGCTTAACCTATATATTCCATTAAGGGGACTTGATGGCCTCAGGCTGGCTCTCATTAGTCGCTGAGCTATACATCACACAATCAAGCACACACATGGAAATAGGAAGATCTTGCATAATTAAGGAAGTGCCTAATTCTCACAGGCATACTACAGAGCAAGTAACACAGAGACAGCCACAATGGATAAGTTATGAAAGTTGACAGAATTAAAAAAAAAAAAAAAAGGCTATGCCTTGGGATGCAGTGAAGGGGATTCAGAAGCTTCACAGACCAGATGGCTGTGCCCACACTAGGCAGGGAGTGGACATCAATGCTTGTGCTCAGGTACTCAAGACTCCAGAAACCAAAATGGACAAGACCAAAACCAAGCTGGAGATGCACCGACTGTTCAAGAGGTATGGCGTTTCTGTGTTTGGTAAAGAGGTACTCTGCTCTGAAAAAAATAAATAACAAGAGACAATCCAAGCCAGCCTCTGACCCTCAGCCCCCACCTGTGCCTTCTTCCTGTCCCCCATCCCTTAAACTGACCATCACTCACAGCCTGAGAGCACTCAGCACATGCTCCTGCTGAGCATGCCTTCAAGACTGTGAAAAAGGACCAGAAAGTGCAGCTCACCCCAGGTAACAATGCAGCATTAAGGTGAACATCCTCTCCTGTAATACACCAGTAGCATATTTTATCCTTTTCTGAGCCACTTGCAAAATATGTGCACCCGGCGCCACTCTGGAAGCACGGCTCCGTTGAGTCACATTCCTTGTGAGGTAGTTCAGAGTTTTGAAACAGCAGATTTATAGATCTGCCTCTACTACCACGGGTGGCTAGTAAGGCTGACACCAACTCTATATCCCCTGGCTTCTCAAACTATTAAAAATCTTTTTCTTCAGGTTTTACCAAATTCACAAATAAAAACCAACAACAACAAAATTAGAGTGATGAAGGCACAAATAAAATGTTGTCAAAACAAATGGCAAAGGTCAAATAAGCATGTGTGTGATCATTCTCACAGTCCAAACTTTGCTAAAGAATTTGAAAAAACAAAAAAAGAACCCTTTACTTGGTTTATCAAAGTTTCAGGCGTTTTATAAAGAACTCCAGGAATTTAGAGAACTGGTTCAAGGTCAGCCTGGGCTTCCTGTTTAAATCCTACCCAATAAAAAATCATAAAAATGGGCAGGACATAAACTACCACCCACATATTATCAATGAGTTCTTCCAAAAGGCCACATCTACACAGAGACATCAGGCAAGACGACACAGCTGCATCCCAGGCAGAGTGCTCTTAGGTCGGCTTCAGAGGGGCAGGAATATTGGCAGATGCCTGCTCCAGGTAGGCCAAGGAGCCCTGGGGGATCTCAGCTGGCTTCTTGTGCTGCACATTGATGTCCTCCAGCACCTGCTGCCAGTGCCTCAGCTTTGTCAAGTGCTTCTGGACCAGCGCATCTTTCCGCTGCAGTTCACTCCTTAGTTCTGATACATCCTACAGATACAGTGGGGGAGAGGGAAGAAAGGGATGAGGTTAGGAGTAGATGAATAAACCCTCCTTAGTCAGGAGCACTAAGAACGACCCTGGTGGTGTAGGCCTGGAACCCCACTACTTGGGAGGCTAGGGAGGAATCATAAAGTTAAAGGCCGGAGTGATGTCAAGGCCAGCTTGGTTAACTCAGCGAGGAAATAAAGTAAGAAGAGAGATGTAGACAAAGTATGACTGAGGAGTACTTGGCTAGAATGCTCAAACGGTACCAAAGACACAAAACACTAACTCAACCAAGGGAGTCCACCACAGCCCTCCACTCTGCTGCTCTCTATATGATCAACAGGAGCAAATCTTTTTGTTTGTTTTTTGAGACAGGGCTTCTCGGTGTAGCCTTGGCTGCCCCGCCTATGCCTCCCAAGTGCTGGGATTAATGGCCTACGCCACCACCGTCTGCAAAAGCAATTCTTTCAATGAAAGATGTTTGTCTAACAACAAGAATTTTAATGTTTAATGATTTTTATTTTAGTAAGTAAAAACATAAGACTTAAGATTAAAAATTACCTCAGAATCTAAAAGACCACTGCTGAAAAATACCAAACACTGAGAATATGAGACAGGTGTTAGCAGCTGTCTGTAAGAGTCCACATTACTGTTCTATGACTTCAGATTACACATATAAGGTGTTGAAACAGTATGAACAGTGGGAGGAAATCCTTTATTAAAATTTGGGGCCGGGCTGTGGTGGCTCACGCCTTTAATCCCAGCACTTGGGAGGCAGAGGCAGGCGGATCTCTGTGAGTTCGAGACCAGCCTGGTCTACAAGAGCTAGTTCCAGGACAGGCTCCAAAGCCACAGAAAACCCTGTCTCGAAAAACCAAAAAATAAGTAAGTAAGTAAGTAAATAAATAAATAAATAAAATAAAATAAAATTTGGCTTTGTGTCCAGAGAGATGGCTCAGTGGTTAAGTGCACTTGTTGCTCTTACAGAGGACCTGAGTTTAGTTCCCAACACCCACAAGGCAGCTGACAACCATCTACAATTCTAGTTCCAGAGAAGGCAATGCACTCTTCCAGCCTCTATGGGAACTGCATACACATGGTACACATACAAACATGAGGGCAAAACACTCGTACACATAAAATAAAAATAAAAAAAGCAATGTTCAAATGGTAGCCTTAACCATTTCCACTATTATTCGAGTATTCATACCAAGAGATTACAACAAAGAATATAATCTTCTTACTATTCCTGCTATCAACAGCTGGTCTCGTGGCTTGAAAAGACCCTTTCTGATTAACTGGTCATGGTCACCTTGTTATTTCAAAAGCTCTAAAGTCCATTGCTCTCAGATTTCTTGGTGGCAGTACCACTGGCCTTGGGGCTGGAAGTTCAGGATCTTCTGTATCACCTCACTTACTCCTTAACACTAAAGATTCCCAATTCTTGTGGCAACTCATTTGAACAAATATCTTGGTTTAAAGCAAATGAGACTAACCTACCCCTTTTAAGGAATCTTGGCTACAAATACTTACCTTCTCTATATTTTAAAGAAACAGACTCTCACTAGATAGCCTTGCCTGGCCTAAGAACTTGCTATGTAGTCAGACTGGTTTTGAATTTACAGAGGTCTGCATGCCTCTGCCTTGTGAGAGCTGAGATTAAACACATGTGCTACCGTGCTGGTTACAATATTTACTTTTTGATTCCTTAAACAAAATACATAGACCATTTCCAATATGCAAGGTACAGGTAAAGCTACTTGGGGATACAGTTCCTGTTCCTATCCAAATTACCTTTTTATCGATACTGATAGCTTTCCAGCTGTCCTCAGAAGTCAGGGTGTGAAGTAAGTAGGCAGAGCTGTTGGCAGTCCTGCTCTTTGCCCCCCTTAACCCCTAATGTCCAGGCCGTCATAAACACTGGTACCCTCAGCACTTCCCTCACTTGTAAAGACCTCGTACCACTCACAGGAAGAGAATACATCTTATTAAGACAACATGGAATCTTAATGACATTTGCTCTCCCTAAAAGTTAGGGGGAAAACCAAATTTGTACCTCTTTGATAACTTGATCTGGTTTCTGGACAGACAACTGCAACCTCTTTTGTAAGAAAAAACATTCTGTCTGTCTTGCAATGTCCAAAAACTTCTGGATACACTGATCAACACCTTGAAAGAGAGAGAGACCAAAAGTTTAAAAAAAAAAAAAAAACAGATGTATTTATCTCCTACCTAAACAAATAGGTACAATATTAAAAGAGCAAATTCTCATAAACATAATTCGAGAATTTAGTCTGGATAACAGCAACATCTCAATCACCTTCAAGTTCCCACGTGTAACTAGCATGATCTTAGAGACCTTACACAATATATAAGTCGAGAAGTCTTCTAAAGAAACACAGTCTAGACACAGCAATTAGGTAGGACCACAATTTCCGTTTAAAATGGAATATTTGAAATATTCAAGTCATTGGACACTGGAGTTGATAATACGCAGAGAAGACTTCTCTGTCAGAGCTGTCAAAAGATCAATATAATTTGTGGGTTTTTAAATAAGCACTTCTCGCTCGATTTCTTTATGTACATGAAAAGTTTATTTTAAAAGACTCAGAGGGAAGGGGAGGGAAAGGGGAGGCGGCGGTGGGGAAGAGACAGAAATCTTTAATTAATTAATAAAGAAATAAATAAATTAAAAAAAAAGACTCAGAAAACGTGTGTCAGCCAGTGAACTGAACAGAGGCAGCAGCTTATGGGACTTTCTGCATCCATCTTCCTCTCTGGAAAAGTTCTAAGATACCTGCAGGGCTAAACACACAAACATAAAATCGGCATAGGAACCCTGCTGAAGAGAAACGGTCTGCAAAGAGGGAATTCTTACCAGTTCGAATTTCTTCCTGGTCAGTTCCGTTGACATAATCCTGACTCACAAGGGAAGCGAAGCAAGCCTGTGTGAGCAAAGCATAACAAATGTCATCCACACATCAAGCTATTACCTATGAACAAGAAATCACCCTCTCCTGAGCCAGTGAGTGAGTGCATACGTTCTGAGTTTGTACCTGTGAAGACCTCAGTAAACACTTGGTAAAATAAATCTCAACTAGTTTGGCAACTGAGAGAGCAGTATTTGCTGGCACCATCACAGGGTCTCACTCCTACCACCTGACTGCCCCTCACTCTTTTTCCACACCTGGACACCTCTCAACCCCATCACAGTCACGCTGGCTGAGCCTTACATGAACTGCATATATTCACTATCTCAAGATGTCCGTCTCCTCTTTCTGCTCATGCTCTGCAGTGGAGTCTGACATTATTATCCGCTCTTCTCAGCCGCTATCAATTGTCTTCTACCAGCAGGTCCACCTGTGTGGTTCAGCACGCTATTCTAAGTACCTGGAATGCCACTTGGCATTTAATAAGCAACAGACGTGTCGGTGTAATAAATGGTCAGTGTCAGATGGATAATCAAATCCCAAAAGATCTCCTGAAAGGGTACTATAGTGATATTTCATTTGTATTTTAATAAATAAAGCTTGCCTGAAGATCAGAATGCAAAACACCAACACTAGTCTGCCACACAGGCCAGGCAGTGGCGGCACACTTCCTTCATTCCAGCAGCCACGCTAGTTAGCCACAGAGGCCGGGTGGGGTGGTGCACACCTTTAATCCCAGCACTAGAGAGGAATATAAGGCGGGATGAGACAGGAACTCCGCTCTCTTTCAGTCTGAAGATTTCGTGGAGGTAAGAGCTCTCTAGTGGCTTGGCGGCTTTGTTTTTCAGAGCTTCAGGGTGAGCATGGGAGTGCACCACAGAGGCACAAGCAGCCCCCAGAAAAGACAAAAGAGGCGAAAGAGAACACAGATGGCAGCTGACAAATGAACACAGGCTAGGAGAGAAGAACCCTGCCAGTGGTGAGCAAACACATGTGTAAAACCAAAGAGACAGAAACAAATTTAGGTTCCAAACGTAAGCCACAAACACATGTGAGGTTCCTTTCGGAAGCAATGAATCCTTCTGCCCAGCTCCGGACTTAGTGTATAGAAATCATCACAAGAGTTTCCTACCTCTGCAAAAACAGCTCAACAAATCAGACTGCCCATTCTGTGTACTGTAAAGTTCATTCTTGTTGGACTTTTGGGGTGTGAGCAGAACGTGCATACTTCAAGAGACCCGATGGCCCATAATGCTTGAGTTGAAAATCTAACTTCAAGCCGGGAGGTGGTGGTGCACGGAGGTGGGAGGCAGAAGCCTGCAGATCTCAAGGCCAGCCTTGTCGACCAGAGAAAGTTTCAGACAGCCAGGGCAACACAGACGACAGACAAAACCTGTCTTCTCCAAAAACCAACCAAACAAACAAAACTAACTTCTGAAGCTTTAGTTCCCGGCTCACCTCCCCGCCCCCATTATCCTTTTTAAAGCATTTAAAGCTGAGCCTTTCTCGACAGCCAGTCTTATGAAGGAAAAACAAATGCATGTAAGACTATAAAAAGGCAAGTAATTAGGACTGGAGGGATGGCTAACCATGTAAAGATGTTTGCCACCAAATCTCAGTTCCAGCCCCTGCACGCACATGGTAGGCATGGAGAACCGACTTCAATATGTTCCTATGACCCTAGAAGCGCATCAATAACAAAAATAAATGCAATACAATTTATTTTATTTTTTAAAGAAAAATACTTTTCAGAAGTATGACTAGGCCATCTTTGACCTGGAAAGGCAGAAGGCCGGAGTACTAACGTTCACTTGCTTAAACCCAAGGCCGACTTTGGACAAGTTACTTCTGAGTCTTATGGGGGCGAGGGAAGAACACAAATGTTCTACCAAAGCTTCCCCCACACGGTAAGAGCTCAATTTGTCCCAACAAAGCGCACCCACCAAACGACTAGAAAGTGAAAGCCAGAGACGTCAAGGTGGTAGCTCCCAAAGAGAAAAGCTAACAGGTAAGCAAGTGCCAGGGGCCACTGGGAGGTCTACACAGAAGAGAGAAAACCGGGAAAAGCACATACTAAGTGAAAAAAAAAAGTGAACTCAGAGGAACTCAGGCAAAAGGCTACGCTCCAGGGAAGACCAGCTCCAACCGGACCTGCAGAGCAGAACGCCGGCTGGAATCCAAAGAGCCCCCAGATTCTGTGAGTTGTCTCCAGAAAGGCCGCGGGTGCGGGGGCACCTGAGGCCGCCGGACACAGGCAGCAGCCAGCCTCGGGCAGGCGGCTTCGGCTCTCCGACCCCCGGCACCCACCGGGCGCAGGGACCACCGAGACAGGCGCGACTTCCGAAGGCTGCACAGGGACGCCCACGGCGCGGCTTACCTCGAATGACGACTCCAACTCGTCCACCAAAGTGCTGTTCGATGGTCTCGGAGCCCCGGGAGCGGCTTGCAGAAGCGAGGCCTGGCCCGGGAGCCCGGGCGGGGGCGGCGGCGGACCAGGCGGCTGCCCCGAGAACATCCCGCCTAGAGACCCCGCCATGTCTGCAATAGCGGGCGGAGGCGCCACTGGGCCTGCGTGCGCCGCCGGATCACGTGGCGGGCGTGGTCACGTGACTGGCGGAGCTCCTCCCGTCCCTCCCAGAGGTGTCTAGAGGCCTCTAGAACCTTGTTTCCCTGAGAGCGCCTGGGTTAACTCTTTACTGACTTTAGTACTAAAGGTTGGGCTGATTTAAACCAGTCATGTACAGAGGCTGAACTCGCGCGTGGGCTTCCCTGCCATCGACCGATCCCTGTGCTGCTCCTAAGGGCTTTCAGGGACATTGGCCAAGTCTTTCCTTGGGCTCCTTAGTAAAGCGAGGAGTCATCTGTTTCTTCAGGGTGATTGAGGGCTTTCTATGTACCAAGTGCCAATTCAATATGTAGAACCCTCAGTTCCATGTCTGCCTGCATGCTGTTATGCTTCATGCCATGATGACAGTGGACTAAACCTCTGAAACTTTAAGCCAGCCCCAAATAAATGTTTTCTTTTATAAGAGTTGCCATGGTCATGGTGATTCTTCACAACAATAAAACCATTAGACAGAAGTTGGTACCAGACACTGGGGTATTTTGGTAGCCTGATAATGCTTTTGTTTGGAAGAATGTGGACATTAAGACTTTGGATTAGAAGAGCAGCTGAATGCTTTAAGCAGAATTTAATGGGTCATAATGGTAGGAACATGGAAGACAGTGGTGCTGAGGGTGATTTAAACTGTGGGGGGCCAACTCAAGACATTTCAAAGAATATTAATATCTGATATTTTTGCAAAAATTTGACTGCTTTATTCCTTTGTCCAAAAAAAAAAAAAAAACGTGCCTGAGGCTAAATCAAAGGATTAAGAGCTTTAGCAGAGGACATTTCAACAAACCAGCATTGACTGTGTTGTGTGTTTATTAGTGTTCATTCTTAATGCAGATCTATAAATGAAAAGGAGCAAATTGAGCAAGGAAAAATACAAAATGTACAAAATAAGGGCACCAAGAAGTGGAATGGAGCCAAATCCTGTGTTCAAGGAGATAAACAGATTAGTGAAAATCCTGGTGTTAAATGGTGTGAAGAGAGTGGGGACCTCAGGGCAAGACTCCACTGAGCTAAGAATGAAACTTGTGAAAAGGAATCAAAGAAAGGCTTAGAGCCAGGTGTGGTGGGTTCTGACTTTATTCCCAGAACTCCGGAGGCAGAGGCAGATAATTCTCTAAATTTGAGACCAGCCATGTCTACAGATCAAGTTCCAGAATAGTCAAATCTAGGCAGTGAAGGAAACCCATGGAAAACACAGAGCTGTCTTTACTCCCAGCACCTGTGAGACAGGTCAGCATGTTTTACATAGGAAGTTCCAAGCCTGCTGTTGTTACATTGTGAAGCCCTATATCAAAGAAAACAAAATAAAAAGCAAACTAATCAAAAGAAAGAATAAAAATAAAAAGCTAGGAGCTTGTCTGCAAACTGTTTCAATCTCAGGACCCTTCTATATTCCTAAAGCTTATTGAAGATCCTGAAGTTTGGGGTAATGAGGATTGTGTCTGCTAATATTTATCAAATAAAACAATTTTTAGAGTTGATTAAAAGTAATGGACACATTGCATGTTAACATTTTTATGGAAATCACAACTCTTCTAAAACAACAACAAGGGGGCTGGAGAGATGGCTCATCGGTTAAGAGCATTGCCTGCTCTTCCAAAGGTCCTGAGTTCAATTCCCAGCAACCACATGGTGGCTCACAACCATCTGTAATGAGGTCTGGTGCCCTCTTCTGGCCTGCAGGGATACAGACAGAACATTGTATACATAATAAATAAATATTATAATTTAAAAAAAAAGAAAAATAAAACAACAACAAAGAAAAATGACTTAGTTGTCCAGGAATGGAGCTGTGGGAGGAGAATTCTGAGCGCTTGTGAGAACACTCCACGGAAAACAAGTCTTGTGACCTCAGTGTCTTGAAAACATAGAATTGTTCTTGGCTGTTTTCATGCTTCTCCCAGTTGTAGTAGTGGGTAAGACTGAGTTTACTTCAGATAAGTCATTATTACTTGCTGTTGTTAAGTGTTTAGACGATCCTGTATATCCCTCTATGGAAAAGCATGTTTTCACCATATGCAGCTTATCCTTTGTGATTACGTACAACTCTTTAGTCATGTGGCCTTTGCATGAGAATTTCACTCGTGTGATCTTTCTTACCCCTCAGAGTATAAATTGTCTGAGGCTCTGAACAAACTTGGCTATTGCATGAGACTTTAGTCTGCCTCACTAATCGGTTCTATTCTCCCAGCCCCACCACTGCCTCTGGAGCAGTGACACATAGTGACAGAATTTTACCTTTATTTGCAAACCTAGTACCCAGTTAGTCTAACCATGACCTAAATTGCCAGTAACAAACCAGTGGTATTTCCCCTGGATTCATCCAGAGAACAAAAGATCCACTTCTTGTTTTGCTAGAAATTTGTTTCTTCACTCATAAAATGGAAGAGTACAGTCTTGGGAAGATTACTGAGAGTGAGACAACTTGTCTGTGATGGTCCACACTGTAGTAGTGTACAACATGGTCAACACTGTAGCCTGATAGAGACTAAAAAGTGACAGTGTGACCTTTAGAGCTGGTTGCTCACTGGCTGGAGAGATGGCTTGGTGGCTGAGAGCAAGCCCTACTGTTCCAGAGAACCCGAGTTCACATTCCAGCACCCACACCAGGTAGCACACCATCACCTGTAGCAATATTATCATATCAGGTTATCTAACGCCCTCTTCTGGCCTCTGTAGACACTGCACTCATTTGCAAATCCACACAGACAATATGATTTAAAATAAAAATTTAAAAAATAGCTATCCATTGGGTGGTGGTGGTGCATGCCTTTAATCCTGGCACCTTGGAGGCAGAGGCAGGCAGATCTCTTAGTTAAAAGCTAGACTGGTCTACAAGATAGAGTTACAGGTCAGCCAGGGCTATACAGAGAAACCCTGTCTCAACCCTCCCCCCAAAGTTATCTATTTGTGGTTACAGGCCACACCAAAGAACTGGGCAGTGGGATATGAAGGTATGGCATAGACTCATTAGGAATGGAACACAGAAGGACTGTAATAAAATGGTAATTATTGAATGTAGGGCCTAAATGAACATTTTCCTAAGATCAAGACAAGAAGACAAGCTCACAGTAGATGTTAAAGCTACAGCAAAGGAAGGACCCCAGAGAAATCAGGTAATATTGTCAGCCCTGAGCATACTCCTAAAACTCTACTTCCCTCAACCTAAATGGAGAATTCAAGAGCAGGAACTACATCTTGCTTTCTCCGCCTTACTGAGCATGGAATATTCGCTGAATCAATAAATCTACTCCAAAACAGCAGAACATTTCCCACTTCCTTGACCTTCCTTGGAGGATATGTGAGACTCTTTTTTTTTTTTTGCTAATTTATTCTTTTAAAAATCATCTTTTCTCATTTTACATACCTATCCCTGTTCCTGCACCCTTCTCTCCTCCCACTTCCCCACCTTCCTGCCATCCCACCCCCGCAATCCACCACTTAGAGAGGGTAAGGCTTCCCATGGGGAGTCAACAAAGTCTGACACATCACTTTGAGTCAGGATCAAGGTCCTCCCATCTATATTTAGGCTGAGCAGGGTATCCCTCCAAAAAGAATAGACTCCAAAAAGCCAGTTCCAGCACTAGGGCTAAATCCTTTTCCCATTGCCAGTGGCCCCACAGACTGCCCAAGGCACACAACTGTCATCCACATTCAGAGTCCTATGTGGTTCCCCCGCTATCCAGCTTCCGCCTAGGCCCAGAACTAGGGCTATGAGTTAGCCCTCCCTAACAACCACTGAATCTATGAACTGTTGGGTCATGTGAAGGGGAAGAACCTACAGATCCAAAACAGCAGGCTCTCCATGATACAGTGCAACAGGATGTCAGGGAGAAGCCCCAGCAGAGCCCATAATCAGTGGTGTAGCAGAAACCAGAAGCCTTGAGCCAGACCAGTGACTCAAGCAATGAACACTGCTTGAGTAAAGATGAATGGACTAAAGGGTAAACTGTGTGACTCAGTGGGCTACACTACAGCTTCCACAAGATTCTTCTTTTTGTTTTGTTTTGTTTTTCTTTTAAATTTGGTTTTGATTTGAGGGGGAGTTTGCAAGAGCATAGGGTAGATGCAAGGAGACCGGAAGACAAGGAGGAGCAGAATGCATGACGTGAAATCCACAAAGAATCAACCATAGTTAAAAAAGAATAACTGTGAACAAATGTCATAATCCAGAAACCACAAAACAGTATCTCATTTCTAGTAACTAGCTAGATGTGGTGGTTTGAGAGAATGGCCCCCATAGGCTCATATATTTGAATAGTTGGTGCAATAAGTAGGACTGTTTGGGAAGGACTCAGAAGTGTGGCCTTGGTGTCACTGAGGTTGGGCTTGATGAAAAGCTTCCCACCATGCCTGGTGTGCTCTTTGCTATTTGTGAATCCAGATGTGAGTTCTTAGCAGCTTCTCAAACACCAGGCCTGCCTGCCCAACTAGCCATGCTGGTGACAGATTCCTATTCTCCTTGGATTGTCAGCCCCAATTAAACCCTGTCTTCTAATAACAATAGCAAGATACCTAAGACACTAGGCATAGTGGTGTACCCCTCTAACACTAGTATTGGGGAGATGGAGGCAAAGGATCAGGAGTTCAAAGCTATCCTTAGATACATTAGACTCATACCCCACACTCAAAGTAAACCAAACCCAGAAACAATTACTTTGGTAACTGCACATCATCTTTTGAATTTTGCTTATGTTCTTTTTCTTAGCAGCACAAACCTGAAGTTCAATTTTCCTTCTTAATTAAAAACATATGCTCTAGTCAGTCACTCCTTTAATCCCAGCACTCGAGGCAAAGGTGGCAGATCTCAGAGTTTGAGGCTAGCCTGGTCTACAAAGTGAGTTCCAGGATAGCTAGAACTGTTACACAGGGAAATCCTGTCTTAAAAAACAAAAACTCAAACATATGCTCTAAAATTGATCAGGAAGTTAAAAATTTAACAGCCACATGGAGAATATTTTAAAAGTCTTG